AACCCCTGAGAAATGACTGTTGCCAGACCCCCGGAACACAAGAGGAAACCGAGGTCATACCCGAGCCACCAGACTTGGTGGCAACTGGATTTGACCCACCAAGCCCAGGCTAAAGGACTGGGCGGGGGAGGAGGGCACAGTGTTTTGCTGTGGCAGGGGGGTGGCATTGTGAGGACCTGCCTGGGGCCCACCAGGGCCAATCCCAATGTCCCTGTCCCTTAGGAGGCCGGCAGCCCTGGAGTCCCATTGCAGGCAGAGCCGGGACAGCCCTCCCTCCCATTGGTCCACATGTCTGACCCAACTGTCCCCTTCACTGAGAGGTCTTTGAGCTTCCCAAGGCTCCAGGCCCATCGGATGCCCCACATTGGGCTGGGGATGTGCTGGGCAGAGCTGGAAACAGGGACAACACTCACCAGCCCTTGGCATCCCGGGCCTTCCTTCCAGGCTGGTGAAATTCCATGTCTGTACCAAGGTCACCTCTACCATCCACACCAAGTGGCTAGGGTGGGAAGTGGCCACGAGGAGGCCCCTCTGCCCTCAGAGCCCCCCCACCAGAATTCTCCTGCCCAGAATTTCCCCAAGACTCATCTTGACTGCCTTGAGCCCCAGCACTTGGCGGGATGACAGGTCTTGGAACAAGCAGAAAGAAGGCAGGCGGAGAAAGCCCGGGAGCCTGCTGGCCAAGGCTGCCTATGATTCAGGAGCAGCTGGGAGCCTGGCAGCCTCCCGGAGCCTCAGTTTCCTCATCTATAAAATGGGGCAGATAACATCAGGCCTTGTGTCACCGGACTGTGAAAAAAGGGACCCAAGATGGAGTTGCAGGCAGCAGCAAGCAGGTGGTAAGCGCTCAGTGGAAATGAGCTGTGCCTGTTACCGCTGCCCCTGTCCAGATGCTCCGCACCAGCTCTTACGTGAGAAAGGCTTTGTAGAGTGCTGTAGTCATGCAGCTGGGTTATGGAGAAGGGTGGATGTGCAGACAAAGAGGCCTGGTGAAGTGGGAAGAGCCTGGCAAGGGGGTCAGGCACAGGTGAGCTCAAGACCTGACTCCCTGATGGGCGACCTTGATCATGCTGTTTAAACTCTCTGGACCTCTTTGCAAGGATTAAATGGGGAAAGGTGCATGAAGGGGTCTAGGAGGTGTCTGCGCACAGTTGAAGCTTAATAAATATCAATCTCATTAGCCTTTCACTCCTTGAATTTGTGAAGAGCAGAGAACAGATGCTTGTATACACCTATGCATTCTCCATCTCCCTCCATCTCACTCAAAGGGCCAATTTTGTTGGGGGAGGTGGCTCATGCCTATAATCCCAGCATCTTGGGAGGCTATGGTGGGCAGATCACCTGGAGTCAGAAATTCAAGACCAGCCTGGCCAACATGGTGAAACCCCATCTTTACTAAAAATACAAAAATCAGCTGGGCGTGGTGTTGCGCACCTGTAATTCCAGCAACTCAGGAGAATCACTTGAACCCAGGAGGCAGAGGTTACAGTGAGCTGAAATCATGCCACTGCACTCCAGCCTGGGAAATAGAGGAAGACTCTATCAAAAACAAACAAACAAACAAACAAAAAAAAAACCCTGATTTGTATCATCTGCTAATTTCCATGGTGTAAATATGCCCACTATGATTGATTTCAAGCTACCAACCTAAGCAGCGTTGGGAAGAGCTGTGCACAGACAACTGTCGTGCATGATGAGAGCCAGCTCCAAGACATCACAGCTGCTCACAGCTCCCCTTCTCCACCGTCTACCCCTCTTCCCAACCCACTGCACTCCTGCCACACCCACCATCTTTCTGGTTCCACACATGCCATGCATGTTCCTGCCTCAGGGCCTTTGCACTGAACTGCTATGTCCTCTACTCAGAACTTTTCTCCCCTGGTTGTGACATGGCAGACATGTCTTGCTTCCCAGATCTCAGCTCAGATGTCACCTCCTCCAAGAAGCCTGTCCTGATCACCTTGCTAATATTGCTTCCCCACCCCACACACACACCTACCACTCTGCGATTTCATGATATTTTATTTCCTTGACTCACATTCATCTGTTATGTGCTGTCATGTAAGTTTATCTGTTGACTTTCTGTCTTACCCACTGTGGGGTTGGCTCCATCAGCGTCGGACCTCATCCCCGAGGTCCCAGCTGTGTCCTTGGTGTTTCACACAGTACCTGACACCTAGTAGGTGCTCAGGCAATGTTTACAGCACAGATGAATGAATGAACAAATGAACAATGAACGTCAGGACCCACCTGGGCTGATCTTCCCAGACCCTGCCTGGCCCCCAGCCCCGCCCCCATCACAGACTCCTCTTGCAGCAGCTCTAATTAGCAGAGCCCCCCCACCTCCCACCCCAGTGCAGCCCCCTCAACTGCAGCCCCATTGTGGACCCTGTAATTGCAGTTTTCTCCCCCACCCCAATTCTCCGTCTTCAGCAGAAAGAGGCCGGCCCCATTGTGCAGCTCCTGTTGACACAGAGATGACCTCACCAGGGCCTCCTGAGAGGGGCCCAGCAGGGGAAAGGGAGTGGGGAGTAGAGGGGTAGCAGTGGCTGGGCCCAGGTTGGGAAAGGCCTGGAGGCTGAGGCCTGGGACAAAGGGACAGGATGGGTAAAGCTAAGGGTGGGGGTGGGGGAAGAAATCAAGAGAGAGTTTCTGGGCATAAGACAAGGGTGCTTTCATTAGAGGAATACTTGAAGGAGGGAAGATTCCATCCTCAAGAAAGGATTCCCAGGGAAGACAGGGCCAGACGGCTGTGTGCTTGAGGGGTGTTTGGAGACACAGGAAGACCGACAGACGTAGGCCTAGGACCTGCCTGCCCTGAAGGCTTGGAGCAGAGACTCCCTGAGCCTGTATCTTCCTCTGTAAAATAGCAAATAAGAATGGTGCCTTCTGGGCCAGGCAAGGTGGCTAATGCCTGTAATCCTAGCACTTTGGGAGGCTGAGGCAGGTGGATCATGAGGTCAGGAGTTCAAGACCAGCCTGACCAAGATGGTGAAACCCCCGTCTCTAGTAAAAATATAAAAATTAGCTGGGCATGGTGGCAGGCACCTGTAATCCCAGCTACTCAGCAGGCTGAGGCAGAGAATTGCTTGAACTTGGGAGGTGGAGGCTGCAATGAACTGAGATCATGCCACTACACTCCAGCTTGGGTGACAAAGAGAGACCTTGCTCCCCCAAAACAAACAAACAAACAAAACACCTGGGACTGTCTTGGGGTCTCTAGTAGATAGAGGCCAGGTAAGGAAGGACACAGGAAAGGCTGAGTGATCATTCCTCCCTACCCACTGATGCCGACACACACGCACATGCGCTCTTGTTCTCTCTCTCTGTTTCTCTCTCTCTCTCTTCCTTTTACAGACTTTACTCATTCCTTCCCTCTCAAGCTGCCCACATTTTGGCAAGGCCCCTTCTCCAGTGACCCCCGGCTGAACCCAGGCACCCGTTGACTCCCGCTCTGGGCTCTTGCACCTTCCTCCTCATATGTGAGCCCCCAGCAAGGCCCTCTAGTGGCTGCGCCTGGATCTCCGCCCTAGGCCCCTGGTTACTACTCCAGCCCTGAGCACCCCATCCCAATTGCCCTATCTGAGAGGCCCCGGGGAGGAAGCATCTGCCCATGACACCTGGAGAGCCCTGGGTTTGCCATCAAGTGTCCCCCTGGGAAGGGAACAATCCCTGGGTCAGGACAGCTGCCAGATCCAGGGAGGCCCATGCACTGGAAAGAATGGAGTGGGGCTTGGTGGGGGCAGCACATGGGCTCGAGGGAGACTGCGGTGCCTGGCCAGGCCTTTCTCCTTGTCTATGAATCACATTTTTTTTTTTTTTTTTTTGAGATAGAGTCTCGCTCTGTCGCCCAGGCTGGAGTGCAATGGCACAATCTTGGCTCACTGCAACCTCCAACACCCAGGTTCAAGTGATTCTCCTGCCTCAGCCTCCCTCCCGAGTAGCTGGGATTACAGGTGTGTGCCACCATGCCTGGCTAATATTTGTATTTTTAGTAGAGAAGGGGTTTCACCGTGTTGTCCAGGCTGGTCTCAAACTCCCGACTTCAGGTGAGTCGCCTGCCTCATCCTCCCAAAGTGCTGGGATTATAGGCATGAGCCACCGCGCCCGGCCACATTTAATTTTAATCAGAATTTTGTCAGCATTGTATTATTTTCACGAGCAAGTATTTTGAAGATTGAAGCTCCTTACGTTAATTTAGTTTCTTGGCTTGTCTTCTATTGAGTGTGTTTCAAATGGTTCCTAACTTAGTCTTTTTACGTTCATTTCCATTTCACTGAACTTATTTTCACTGGCGTCTGTATTTCCCCCGGGACGTTTCCATTGAAGAGTTCATCTTACAAACAGTGTTCAGCCACGTCCCACTTTAGCTTCTGCCGCTGCGAGTTTCCTTTGCTGGCCATCGTTTTCTGCCAAAGTCAATGTCCTAAGTGCTAAATTTGGTTAGGGAGGTTTGATTCTAATCAAAATCAAGAGGTTTTCCTTGGTGCAGGCTTGGTCTGAGGTGGATGATTCTCCCAGCGAGGTTTCTCCCGCTCTAAAGGACTAGGACTCCTGCTGACTTCCCACAGCAAAGAGCCTCACAGGTACAGAGCAACCTATCCAGGCTCGGGTCAAAGTGACCTCCCCAGGGTCAAAGTGTGCTGAGTCTGAAGAGGGCCCAGGTCCTTGACAGCAGAATCAGGACTGGAAAAAAGTCCGCAGAAACCATGACAACCCAGTCAAGGCAGGACTAAGGGCCCAGACCCTTTAGGAAGGAAGGTTTGGGTCACCGAACTGACACAGAACCATGACCGACTCAGGTGCCCCCTCGTCTTCTGCCCAAACTTCTGCCTGGTGATTACTGTGGTGGGCGGAGTCTAAGAGGCCTGCGGCAATCTCTGCCCCACCCCCAGCGGTCACACCCTTCCCCTGAGCGCAGGCAGAACCGGAACTCGATTCTAGCCAATGGGGTACTCCAAAGGTGGTGAGACGACGTCACTTCCGCAGTGACATGACGTAAGCGTATGGCCTCCATCTTGCCAGCAGTGATGAATCCAAGCTGCCGTCGGGAAGAGGCCCGGCCGGAGCTGAGGTCCTCCAGGCCAGCGACCTGTGGGGAGCTGAATTCTGCCAGCAACCATGTGAGTTGGGAAGCAACTCTCCCCCAGTGGTGCTTACGCGTGAGACTGCAGAGCCTGTTCTCACGCCCTGATTGTAGCCTTGTCAAAGACATGAGAGTTTGGCCAGGCTCGGTGGCTCATGCCTGTAATCCCAGCACTTTGGGAGGCTAGAGTGGGCAGATCACATGAGGTCAGGAGTTCAAGACCAGCCTGGTGAAACCCCTTCTGTACTACAAATGCAAAAATTAGTTGGCCGTGGTGGCAGGCACCTCTAGTCCCAGCTACTCGGGAGGCTGAGGCAGGAGAATCGCTTGAACCCAGGAGACGGAGGTTGCAGTGAGCCGAGATCACACCACTGCACTCCAGCCTGGGTGACAAGAACAAGACTCCATCTCAAAAAAAAAAAAAAACACACCCTAGAGCAAAGAACCCATCTACACTGAATAGCCTCCTGCCCCACAGATACCAGAAATCATAAGTGTGTTTTGCTGTAAGACTCTAAGTATCGGGCTAATTTATTTTGCAGCAATAGACAACGAATCCACCAGGCAACAAATAGCAAAGACAAGAAGAAGAATTAGTGGTAGAGTATAGAGATGTGTTTGTATACTGAGCACCTACTATGTGCCAGTCACTGTGTTAAGTACTGCACAGGCTTTGCCTTATTTATTCCTCACGTGAACTATAGTCATGCTTTAGTCACCTTTTACAGATGAAGAAACTGAGGCTCAGAAAGGCCAAAATGACTGGGAGGCTCCAGAGCAAGGCCCAGAGCCTGGCTCTGAGCTAAGGGCTGGTGGGAGAGGCAGGAGGTGACCCAGGAGCACCCACCCCACTTTCTGTTTTCCTCCCAGATCCACTGTCATCCACATCCTTCTTCTCTTTGGGTACAGACACCCTTCATGTTGTCACATAGTGATCACGTGGACATAAATGCACCTGCAATATGTTTATGCCGACAAACTTCCCAGAAACGTAACATCCATTTTACCTGCACTTTTAATAAGCATTTAATTCCTTCAATTGTCTGGTGGTCCATTTGCAGGAGAAACTGAACTACCTGATCATTTCTCACTTCACCTGCCGTATGAGAAAGAGATTCAATTAGAAAAATCTATTGCTAATTTGAAAGCTCTGATTCTATAATTTCCTACAGGGAAGACATGTAAATTGCGTGTTATTTAACACCCTTTCATGGCAGGTGAGTTCCGCGGGGGGCAATTATAATCCGCTCTCCACTCGTCTTACAGATTCCTGACAAGCGGGGAGGAGGGAAGAGGGAGAAGGAGGAGGAGGGAGAACAGGAGAGCATTTTGAAGGCTGGCTCCAAGTGGCTTTAGGAACCCATGAATTTAAAGGGCTTAAGCAGGTTGGTGCCTGCCGAGGGGCTGCCTGGGAACCCAGGCCAGACCCCACCCCCTTCAACTCTACAAGTCCTCTGGCCTTTCCCTAAGCATCTGGAAAATCACCGTGGCAGGGGGAGGGGGAGAGGGGTCAGGATGCCATGATCCATACTCCAGCCTTTGTCACCAGCTGTGTGGCACACAGCTGTCCCTTAATCTCTCTGGCCCTGGTCTCCATCTGTGCAATGGGAAAACATAACACTCCGCAGCCTGAGCTGCTGGGAGGACCAAACCCAGTATCAAGTGTAAAACACAAAAGGGGACTTCACAAACTACAGAGCACTGTCCCCTGGCGAAGAGCACTAGCACTGGGAGCCGGACCTTAAAGCACCCACTCAGCATCTCCCGCCCCACAAACTCCCTAGAAGGTTTTTCTCTAGTCGGACCTGAATCTTTCTGGCTAAGGGTTTTTCAAGATGAAACTATTTCTTCCTACACAATTATAGCAAACAAGCTCTTTGTAGCACCCCCCTACACACACACACACACACACACACACACATATACACACCCGTGCACACACACATGCATGCACCAGGCACCCCTGGGTACATGTCTCTGGAAGAATGTTTCAGAAGCCAAGGGGTCTCTGGAGGCCTCTAGGGTGGGGAGCTGGGGAGGGAGGAAGCAGAGAGACCTAGTTTTTACCAAAAGCTTTTTGTATAGCTTAGATTTCTTCCCTCCTTCCTTTCCATCGGATGCACCCATTACCTATTCAAAAGCATTCTTTCGTACTTTTATACATGTATTCACTTTTTTTTTTTTTGACACAGAGTCTCTCACTGTCACCCGGGCTGGAGTGCAATGGCTCAATCTCACCTCACTGCAACCTCTGCCTCCCAGGGTCACTCGATTCTCCTGCCTCAGCCCCCCAAGTAGTAACACTGTCACCCAGGCTGGAGTGCAATGGCTCAATCTCACCTCACTGCAACCGCCCGCCTCCTGGGGTTACAGGCGTACCCCACCACACCCGATTATTTTTTGTATTTTTAGTAGAGACAGGTTTCACTATGTTGGCCAGACTGGTCTCAAACTCCTGACCTCATGATCCACCTACCACAGCCTCCCAAAGTGCTGGGATTACAGGTGTGAGCCACTGCGCCTGGCCCATTTATTCACTTTTAACAAATGAAACATCTGACCCCTGGCTCTTCCCTCTGTCTGCCCACCCTGGACCCCTAGCTTCCTGGCCTCCTCGGCCTCCTGCAGTCATTCAGAACTCCTTGTTCCAGCACCTGCCCTCGCCAGACCCGGACCAGACTCCCCTTGAAGCTGGCAACCTGGAGCTGGTTCTAGAGGGAAGAGCAAAAGTGGCGCTGCTCCTTTCAGGGAGCTGTGAGCAGACACACCCCCAAACCCAAATGCCCTTGCATGGGGCGCCCTGCCGCCCAGCGGCCCTCCTTGCAGGCCCCACTGGCAGGCGGACGGGGGCGGGCGCCACCTGCTGGACACAAGTGAGAAGTGCACGCGGGTGCCTACTCTGAACTTGGTCCTTCCAGACTGAGTCCGGCTCGGGTCGCCAGCCCCAGGCGGTGTATCCCGGGCTCCTGCCGGGGAGGCAACATCCTCCTCCCCACAAGTTCATCCCAACAGCTGCTTCAGGTGTTTTTCCCAGACGTGACGTTTTTACATGTTAGAGGTGTGTCAGACTAAAAATCTCCATTCACTCCCCAAATGTGCACCAAGCCAGAACAGTGACGTGGTGACCAACAAGATATTCATGATCCCGGCAGGCTCTGAGGACCGGAGGCTGAGATTAAATAACGTATTACACAAAGAACCATTTAACTGCAAGCACAACCTCCCTTAATGGGGAAGGAGAGAACGGAGCGTGGGTTAAGTTGATCTCCTCACCAGACAGAGGAGGCTCAGAGAGGTGGAGTGACTCCCCTAACATCACACAGCAAGAGAAGATGGGGCTCAGATAGGGACCCGGTTGTCCAGGTCCCAGGAGGCTGGGAAGGTGCAGGTCCCTGGTAGACCCACTGCTAATTTGCAGAAATAGCCTCCAACCCCCCCCCCCACCAAGGGCCCAGGGAGGAGCTGTTTGCCCAAAGGCTTCTTTCAGCAGGTTCCAACCACTGCTAGGGGTTAGACAAGGCCCCCCGCAAGAGCTGCAGTCTCCTTTGCGTAAAGGGACAAGCAGACAGAACGGAGCCCTCAGACACTGTCCCTGAGAAGACAACCTTCCTCTGCTCACCTCCCTTTTCAGCAAACTAGCCCCCCATCCTTCATGACAGAAGAAGGCCTGCAGTAAAATGTAGCACACCTGGGCCACTACAAATTGCCATCTCCTCCCCAGCCTCAGTTTCCCTGCCTGTCTGTATAATGAGAGGTCAAAACAGATGGTCTAAAGGTCAAGGTTCACCTAAGTGCGGTAACCCTCTCTTCCCACCTCCCTTCATCAACCAGTGCAGAGATGTACATGATTCTCCGCAGTGCTGGATGTCCTCAGTTTCCCCAAAATGACCTGGCTTTGGGAGACAAGGCTGAAATGACGTGGTGACTGTGGAGGCCAACAGGACTCCCTGGCCACTTGTCTGCTCGAGGAGGTAGCCAGCAGGACAGCTTACCATCCCTTGGGAGGGTGATGCAATCCATGGGCAGCTGGGAGGGCCCCTGGGCAGGACCCCTCCCTGTCTGAGTTTTGGGCCCTCTCTGTGACCTGCAGACTCTCCCTGAGCTGGAATCGAAAGTCTCCTGTGGGTGAATCCTGCACTTCTCTAAACGTGGTGGAAAGGGCAGGGCAGGTTCAAGTCCAGCTCCCAACCTGCCACTGCCGTTTTCTTTTTTCTTTTCTTTCTTTCTCTCTTTCTTTTTCTTCTTTCTTTCCTCCCTCTCTCCCTTTCTCTCTCTCCCTTCCTTTCTTCCTCTCTCCCTCTCTTCCTCCTTTCTTTCGATGGAGTTTTGCTCTTGTTGCCTAGTATGAAGTGCAGTGGTGCCACCTCAGCTCACTGCAACCTCTGCCTCCCAGGTTCAAGCAATTCTTCTGCCTCAGCCTCCCAAGTAGTTGGGATTACAGGCATGCACCACCACGCCTGGCTACTTTTTTATTTTTACTTATTTATTTTTGTGAGACAGAGTCTCACTTTGTCACCCAAGCTGGAGTGCAATGGCATGATCTCAGCTCACTGAAACCTCCACCCACTGGGTTCAAGAGATTCTCCTGCCTAAGTCTCCCAAGTAACTGGGATTACAGGCACCTGCCACCGCACCTGGCTAATTTTTCTATTTTTAGTAGAGACAGGGTTTCACCATCTTGGCCAGGCTGGTCTTGAACTCCTGACCTCGTGATCCACGACGCCCAGCACCGCCACTGCTGTTTTCAAAGGCTTGTGCCCTTGGGCAGGTAACCTCACTGGCCCACTGGTGTCCTGTCTCTTTGTTCCCACGCAGATGTTGGTGACACCTGCCTCCCAGGTTATGGCAAGTGAGATGAGATAATCCCATCAGCAGAAGGCAGAGTGCCTTGAGGGCATTGGCACTCAGAGATTTAACCCTGATCGTGATGGCTGCTCAGGCTGGCCTGTGTCAGCCTCCCCAAATGATGAATGAAGAATGGATGGGAAAGCAAGGCACGGTGGCTCACACCTGTAATCCCAGCACTTTGGGAGGCTGAGGTGGGTGGATCACCTGAGGTCAGGAGTTCGAGACCAGCCTGACCAACATGGTGAAACCCCATCTCTACTAAATACAAAAAAGTAGCCAGGCGTGGTGGCGCATGCCTGTAATCCCAACTACTTGGGATGCTGAGGCAGAAGAATTGCTTGAACCTGGGAGGCAGAGGTTGCAGTGAGCCAGGATCGTACCATTGCACTCCAGCCTGGGCACCAAGAGCAAAACTCCATCGAAAGAAAGGAGGAAGAGAGGGAGGAAGGAAGGGAGGGAGAGAAAGGGCGAGAGGGAGGAAAGAAGGAAAAGAAAGAAAAAAAAGGAAGGAAGGAGCTAGGGAGGAAGGGAGGGAGGAGGGGAAGGAGTGAAGAAGGAAGGAAAGAAAGGAAGGAAGGAAGGGCAAACTTGGACCTTGGAAATGCTTGGTTCTCTTGCGTCTGTGACTTCACTTAACCCCCACAAAACCCCTGCTTACATCATTTTACGCTTGGGGAAACCGAGGCTCAGAGAAGGGAAACACATTCCCAGTGTCACGCAGTGCTGGGTTCCAGCTGGGCAGTCTTAGAATCAAAGCCCGGTCTCCGGGGAGGGAAAGCTGCAATTCGTCAGGGGAACAGCCTGGGCCACCGGGGCCGCGTTTCGCTGGAAAATCACTCCCTTCTCATCACAGCCGGCACCTCCCGACCTCGGCCACACGGGGGCAGCAGCGCCTCGGCCACGGCCGGGCCTCGCGCTGTTTCTTCGTGCTGGGAACGCCCGGGCGGCTGCGGCGGCAGAGTTCCAAGCAGGAAGGGGCCACGTCAGGGACCTCTAGGGTCTGCGAGGGGCCCGGGCTTGGTCCCGCCGCCCGGCTGCCTTCGTGCATGGAGGTCGGCTGTATGTTAGCCCCAGACCTGTCTGTCTGGCTGTGTGATCCAGGTAAGCTCCTGCCCCTCTCAGGCCTGTTTCCCCATCAAACGTAGAGTTGGTTTAGTTCAGGGGTGGCAAACTGGCCATCTGGAGCTTTGTCCGATCTACACGGGGTTTGTCAAACATTAAAATTGGTTGACAGCTTCTCTGGAGCGACCTGGCCAGGCCAGTGGACCACGTGGCCGCCTCTGCCAGCCCCCAGGGGCGACTCAGTGGACTTAACGCCCCCACCTACCTGATCAAGGCCCGAGTTTGTCAAGCCACCTGGCCCTCTGGAGACACCAGGAAACAAAGTCAGCAGTTCCCCATGAGCCAGGCTGGGGAAACAGCCTTCCAGGAGGGGCGACCAAGGCCCCCACCCAGCCGACCACCTGCCCGCCCTCAGGAACACCATCACAGTCCAGGGCAGCCGCCCTCTGCGGGAGGGAAGACAGCCTCGGGCATGGATGACAACAGATTACTTTTTGGGGAGATTCACTTTTTCTCCTCTGTAAAAATAGGTATAACCCAGAGAGGTCGTAAAGTTTGAGATTATATATATACATATTACTTGTCACAGGTCCTAGCACAAAATAATGATGTCCAACCACATCAGGGGACTGCTCCAACCCCACCGTGAGAAGACGACCCAGATCCCCAGACCTCTCCCCACTCTCCCCTCCCCATCCAGAATCAAGCACCAAAGTGCTGGATAAACACAGACTCCGGGATCGCAGAGCAGGAGGGCCTCAGGACCCGAAGCATCCTCTGGTCTCTGGATCCATTCCCCCAAGACTAACAACTTGCCCATCAGGGAAGTCATGGGAGGGATTCCCCTGGGTCAGTCTCAGTAGGTCACAAAGCCTGTGTCGCCACCCAGGCAGCCCAGGCTCCAGATAACACCAAGTGCCTCTGCCAGGCTGGAGTGGGGACCCCATAAAAGGGACCGTGGAACCACTGATGGGTTCCAAGTCTGCATTTCACAGAAGCAGTGGAGGCCTGACGGCATCACTACCTCCGTGCAGATGAGATGGAGACTCCGGAGGCTGACTCGATTTGCCTGAGATCCACGCAGAGTCAGACTCAGAGGCCATATTGGTTCATCCCAGAGAGAGCTAGGCTGTCTGTGGGAGCCCTGACCCACCCATGATAGCCCCGGGGAAGGCCCACAACCTGTGGCAACTCCGTTCATTCAAAGCCATTGCCCTTCCCTCTCCGTCCCCTGCCAGTGGGTAGCACCCCCACCCAGAGCCCCTCAAGCCTGAAACGTGGCATCTCCCAAAACTTCTCTGAGCCCCCTTAACTGCACACCTCCCACCCAACTCATCACCGACCCTGTGGATTCTCTCCAGGCCCACCTTTCAGGATGACGAAAATCGGTTTGAACCACATCTGGGTGTGCCTTCGGATTGAGTTGCGCACTACAGATTGCCACAGGCTTCGCGGCTCCCTGCTGCATCCCCAGCTCTGCGGACCCAGGTCAGCTGCTGTCATGTACTGGGCTTCACTGATGTGCTTTTTACAGTGAGGAAATAGTTCTTTGCCCCATCAAGTGTGCAGGAAGGAAAACTGGGCAGAGAGGTCTGCCTATCTGAAGAAAAAAAAAATCAGAAATGATTTTCTTCATGGGAGATAAGGCAATTTCTAAGGAGCATGCAACCAAAATGCATTATATGTAAAGTGTGTAATATCTAAATTTTTTTGTTTGTTTTGAGACAGAGTCTCACTCTGTCGCCCAGGCTGGAGTGCAATGGCGCGAACTCCACTCACTGCAACCTCCCGCTCCCGGATTCAAGCAATTCTCCTGCCTTGGCCTCCCTAGTAGCTGGGATTACAGGAACCCACCACTATGCCTGGCTAATTTTTGTATTTTTAGTAGAGACGGGGTTTCACCATGTTAGTCAGGCTGGTCTCAAACTCTTGACCTCAGGTGATCTGCCGCCTCGGCCTCCCAAAGTGCTGGGATTACAGGCGTGAGCCACCGTGCCTGGCCATATCTAATATTTTTTACGTTCAGCCCATGTTATACATTTTTGCCACCTGTCTGGCCACGGTAGGGTCTGGAGGTTGCAATCCCTGGGTTAGAGTAATCCTAGAACAGACTTAGAGTGAGCTGGGGGGGGCGTGGGCAGAGGAGAGGAAGAGTCAAGCCATTTAGATAACTTGGATTTACTCTCCAGTCCTCAAAAGTCAGGAAGGGGCACATAGGTACTACCTCCTATCAGATTCATAATCACTGCCACTTCCGTGCTCCTCCCTCTCAGTTTCCCACCTAATTCCCACACACTGGGCCCATCCACCGTCTCCTGTCCACAGTGTAAGCTGCAAAGCCTTGAGTTGTCTCTCAAGCCTCAACCAGGTGAACGATGGTGCCTCATGTCACCCAGGTCCTATTGAAATGATTATGTGTTCTTTTTCTTTAAACTGTTAATGAAATGAATTGTATTAATTAATTTCTTAATAATAAATCAGCTTTGCAGTCATAAGATAAACACAAGTTCATTATAATATACTGATTGAATTTTTTTTGAGATGGAAACTCACTCTGTAGCCCAAGCTGGAGTGCAGTGGTGCAACCTCAGCTCACTGCAACCTCCACCTCCTGCATTCAAGCAATTCTCCTTCCTCAGCCTCCCAGGTGGCTGGGATTACCGGCATCCAACACCACACCCTGCTGATTTTTTGTATTTTTAGTAGTCAGGTTTTACCACGTTGCCTTGAATGGTCTCCTGAGCTCAGGCAATCCGCCTACCTCGGCCTCCCAAGGTGCCGTGATTATAGGCGTGAGCCACCACACCTGGCCTATACTACATTTTTCAATTATCGTTGTTGCTGAATTCACTGTGCTAATAATTTTCAAGAATTCTTGGAATCTATGTTCATAGGTAAAATTGACGTGAAAGTTTTCTTTGTTGTCCTGTCTTCATCTGATTTTCAAGCTTATGCTACCCAAATGAGGCAGACTGACAGGTGTTGACTGCGTTTCTCCACTGTGGGGTAGAAATCTGGATAAGCTTAAACTTATATTTGTTCTTTGAATGTTTAGCCAAATTGTGATTTGGTTCCTCCCACTATCTTCCAGAGAAGGCTGGGCTGTTAATTTGGTGAATTCCAAATTCACATACCTGGAATTGTCATCTGGGACAAATGTTTTCTTTATAGGAAGATTTTAAACTACTAAATTAATATATTAAATAATTATAGGACCTTTCAGGTTTTCTATTTTTTCTTGAGTCAATTTTAATAAATTGTATTTTTCTAGGAATTTTGCGATTTTGTTTAAGATGTCGCGTGCATTGGCATATAGTCACTTACTATAGTCTTTCGATATTTAATATTATCCATGGACTCTATGAAGCATCTAGAATTATGTCCCTTCTTTCATCCCTAATATTGCTTATTTGTGCTCTCTCTTATGTCTTAAACTTGTAAGAGATTTGTATAATTTTTTTTAGTTCTTTTCAGAAATAATCTTTTGTCTTTGATTATCTTCCCTACTTGGGTTTGTGTTTGTTTTTTGTTTTTTGGTTTTTTTTTTGGTGACATCTTGCTATGTTGTCCAGGCTGGAGTGCAGTGGGGTGATCTCAGCTCATTGCAGCCTCCCAAATCTGGATTCAAGCAATTCTGCCTCAGCCTCCCAAATAGCTGGGACTACAGGCCCATGCCGCCACTCCCAGCTAATTTCTGTATTTTTTAGTACAGGTGGAGCTTTGCCATGTTGGCCAGGCGGGTCTTGAAGTCCTGGTCTCAAGTGATCCACCCGCCTCAGCCTCTCAGAGTGCTGGGGTTATAGGCAGGAGCCATCATGCCTGGCTATTTAGGTTTGTTTTCTACTTTATTGATTTCTGTTCTTAACATTTGATTCCTTTTACTGTCTTGGGGTTTATTCTGCTGTTCTTATTTTAAGTCAAATTCTTAGTTCATTCATTTGAAACATTTCTTTCTTCTACTTTTTTTCTCTTTCTTTCTTTCTTTCTTTTTTTTTTTAAGAAAGAGACTTGCTCTTTTGCCCAGGCTAGAGTGCAGGGATGCCGTGTCAGCTCATTGCAACCTTCACCTCCTCGGCTCAAGCACTCCTCCTGCCTCAGCCTCCGAAGTAGCTAAGACTACAGGTGTGCACCACCACACCCAGCTAATTGTATTTTTTGTAGAGACAGGATTTTGCAAGGTTGCCCAGGCTAGTCTCGAACTCCTGGGCTCAAGCAGTCCACCCGCCTCGGCCTCTCAAAGTGCTGGGAGGCAGGCGTGAGCCACCACACCCGGACCATGAAGCATTTCTGATTTGCCAATACCAGCGTTGAAGATTATAAACTCTCCTCTAAATACGGCTTTGCTTGGATCTCACAAGTCTTGATTCGGAACATTTTGGTGAATGCTCAGTTCTAAGTATTTTCTAATTTTAGCTGTGATTTCATTTTTGGACTGTGAGTTGTTTAGATGTACTGTTTTTCCTAAAGTACTAGCATGGACTCCTTGTCTTTTGGTTATTAACATCTGACTTGTTTAGATTGTGATCGGGGAATACAGTCTGTGTACACATTGTGGGGGAAGCTATGACTACTGCACAGCTTCCTCTTCCGGAACCAAGGAGTTAGTCTCCCAGCTGCCGGGAGCTGCTGGAGGATGGCCCCAGCTGTCTGCTCTCTTAGGAAGTTATGTGGGCTGAGGAGATTGCCTTGCTTCCTTCAATGAACAGCCTGCATGCAATGGCTGCTCAGGGTGGGAGTGTAAAAGACTGGTTTATTACCAACTCAAGACCCTTCTGAAGGACCACCCAGCTCCAGCACTCTCCACGGAGCTGGCAGAGGCCTCCGTGGTATGGCATGGCGGCACACCTCTTCCTCCGCGCGGACCTGCCTCATCCCATCCATTCCACAGGTGCCAATCCCAGGAGTGTTCCCTAATAAAATCCCTGCACCCCCGTCTCCACCTCAGAGCCTGGCTCAAGGAGATCCAGCCTACCACCCCCATCTTTCACACGCATTGAGGTTAGCTTTATAGTCTATGATATTTTGCAAATGTCCTATGCATGCTTGAAAAAAAAATGTGTTTGCCCCAATTTGGAGGTTTCATATGCTACGTGTTGATTATATGAAACTTATTGTGTTCCTCAAGTCTCTGGTTTCTTCACCAAAATGGCCTAAAAATATCCCATCCTGAAGGTGGAGATGTCTATTCTCGTTCCTTCCATCTTCGCTTTATATTTTTTGCAGCTATGATGATATTATATATAAATTGAGAACTGTTACAGCTTCCTAGTGAAACGGAGCCTTCCGCCATTAACTAGTGACTCTTGTGCCTAATAATGCTTTTCTCCCTTAAAGTCTACTTTTACCTTATATTAATATAGCTGATGCAACTTTCTTTTAGTTAGTATTCACCTAGCATATTTTTTCTATGTGTTTTTCTATACTTGGACTTTCAGCTGTTCTTGGTTCCTATGTTTGAGGTGTGGGATTATGTTCTCTTGTAAACAGAACATAATCGCAATGTGTTTAAAAATCATTCTGGGGCAGGCGCAGTGGCTCACACCTGTAATCTCAGCTCTTTGGGAGGCTGAGGCAGGGGGATCACCTGAGGTCAGGAGTTCAAGACCAGCCTGGCTAACATGGTGAAACCCTGTTTTTACTAAAAGTACGAAAAATTAGCTGGGCATTGTGGCAGGTGCCTGTAATTTCAGCTACTCTAGAGCCTGAGGCAGAAAGATCACTTGAACCTGGGAGTCGGAGGTTGCAGTGAGCCCACATCGTGCCATTGCACTCCATCTTGGGCAATAAGAGTGAAACTCCGTCTCAAAAAAAAAAAAAGGCTCACACCTGTAATCCCAGTACTTTGGGAGGCCGAGACAGGCAAATTACCTGAGGTAAGGAGTTCAAGACCAGCTTGATCAACATGGAGAAATCCCATCTCTGCTAAAAACACAAAATTAGCTGGGTGTGGTGGTGCATGCTTGTAATCCCAGCCACTCAGGAGGCTGAGGTAGGAGAATCACTTGAACCTGGGAGGTAGAGGTTGTAGTGAGCTGAGATCACGCCATTGCACTCCAGCCTGGTGACAGAGCGAGACTCTGTCTCAAAATAAATAAATAAATAATAGATAAAATAAAATTCATTCTGACAGTCGTTTTTTAACTAAAGAATTTAGTCCTTTAACATGAATTACTGATAACATAAACTTAGATTGAGATTAATTTCCATAATGTGGTTTTTTTTGGGTTTTTTTTTTGAGACGTAGTTTCGCTCTTGTTACCCAGGCTGGAGTGCAATGGCGCGATCTCGGCTCGCCGCAACCTCCACCTCCTGAGTTCAGGCAATTCTCCTGCCTCAGCCTCCTGAGTAGCTGGGATTACAGGCACGCGCACCACTGTGCCCAGCTAATTTTTTTTTTGTATTTTTAGTAGAGACGGGGTTTCACCATGTTGACCAGGATGGTCTCGATCTCCTGACCTCGTGATCCACCCACCTCAGCCTCCCAAAAT